GAAACATGCTCTCTTGCCCTTGTGGAGCCCACAGTACAGGCACTCAGAACCAGGAACCGAGCAGTTCAAGGCTGTGCAATACAGCGGCCATTAGACAGGCATGGACACTCTTGTCTCTTCACTGCTCTCACTACAGCAGAAGCCCTTCACAGCACATCCTAAAATGTGCAACTTCTGGGTAGGAGGACCAGGGGAAAGAAAACTAGAGAAGAAAAAAGCTGCATGAAAGGGTAAACAAGAAGTGCAGAGAAAAGGATAGGCAAGGAAGTAATCAGAGAAAGAGATGTCAGCAAGCACACTAAGCTTCAACTGCCTGTTAATCTGCTTTCTTGGCACTGATTGACAATTAAAATGAACATAAATGCTGATCAAATAAAATCTTCATGTCTTATACACTGCTTTTGAAATCTGAAAGGGGTGACACTTCTCAGCAGACAGCAAAGCCTTGGAAAAGTATTGAGCAGGGAAACATTTAAAAAGCAAAGATCAACAGAGAGTAGACCAAGGATTTTAAGAAAGACAGGATGGCCCCCGTAATTCTTGCTTTCTGGGAACCCTTGGGAAAAGAAGATCAAGAGAAGAGATTACTAAGACAGAAGAAAGCATTTGGCATAGGTTCAAATTTAAATCAGCCTGAGTACAGTTTTAAGATTTCAAGGAAAAATATTGAAATTTAATAGAAACACCAACAACAAACCAGACACGCTTGAGGAAAATTATCTGTGAGCAGATCATCAGAAATCGCACACACTGATCGACAGCTGCTCCTTCATCCTCTCTACCCTGAACACCAGAAAACGAAGGGACATAACAGGTCATCCTTCAGCCTCACAACATGTGACATGGTGAGCTGCACATTAAAATTTCCTGATGTAAAGCATCATCCAGTGGATGGCATCATGCCCAGGCAGGGAAGGGACTATAAGTGAAATGAGCAAACAGCACCTTGACCATGGTTGGTTCAGATGCTATCAAAAGAGTATCACATTACTCACTGCAGTCAGCTGACAATTTAATCCAACAGAGGGTGAACTTTTGGAAGAGGAAGACCAAAGCTGTTCCATCTGTGGAGATACTTTAAGTACAAGAGGAATCACTTGAGTCTGCAAGGTTGAACCTAATTACTTGCCCAATAATCAGAAGAAAAATTTCTTCTTAATCCATCCCAGTTGTCTGAAAGCAGGAGGGAGAAGAATGGCTTCTTCCCACATACAGATAATCCACAGGGAAGATGTGTCCTTGCCTGGGCCTTTCCGTGGGTAGTAGTCCAGTTAAAGACTACCATTTTCACACCTAAAAGCATTCAACAGGGAGAGAACAGCTCTCATCCTGCTTTTGATGTGATGTGAAGCACTTCACACATATTTTTTCCTTGAACATTAAGAAGTGTGTTTAGCTCCTTATTCTAGAGTTTCCTACTGCCTGATGTTAAAACATTGGCAGGAAATCAGGGGAAGGACACAAAACAAGTCCAACTGGTTCACTCTCTTTTTTTCCAGGGTAGGTAAACTAGCATTCACCTGATACAATCTTGCAACTCATGGTGATAGGCTGGAAGGATTTTCCTGGCGACTCTGCAGGGCTTGGACTCTGACCTTGAGGCACTATTTTACAGCTAGCTGCAATGGGTTGAAAAGCTGAATTTCCATGAGAGCCAAAGGCAACTTTCTGTGTGGCTAACTTGGTGGGTGTCCGTTCTATCGAAGATGGCAGGGAATAAAACGTGGCATGTCTTTCGGTTTCAGCATTCCCAGAGAATCCTGATTAAAACAGGGAAAAGAAGAGAAATAGTTCTTAGGCTGAGACATCTAATTCCTTACTGTGCTTCTCTACACAAACAAAACTCAGGTATGACAAACACACTCTCAAAGGAAGGAAGGAAAAGCAACTGGTGGGCAGCACTGAACAGGGAGAGAGTGGGGCAGGTGGTTCCTCCTGAGCAAGCCTGTTCAACTTGTGTCTGAACAGAATAAAATGCTACTGTGCTTGTTCAGCTGTGGAAGGTGATCAGCCACTTCTTACATGTTTTCTTGAAATGACCCTTCCACCGACCAAAAGCTGCCAGTAGCTTCAAGCATCCTTGGTTAGGGCTAAGGCTGTATCTCCTTTGCAGAGAATCTCGCAGTGCATTTTTTGGAGTAAGAGCACAAGGAGACCACCTACTACTGCCTTTTAACCTGGGTTAAGGAATCCAATCTTATCTGGGTTAAGGAATCCAATCTTATCTGATGTAGAAGGAGACCAATTAACTTGGAGCTGATGAGAAAAAGCTGCTGCCTGTCAGGGTAAGAAGAGGCAGGTTTATACTTCCTTCCTGCTTGCTGTAGCACTGGTCGCCTAAAGGTGCTGTGTATCCTCCTGTTTGAATAAAAGCCTGTGCATTTGAAATTTGGTTGCATTTCTCCTTTTTTGGCCACAAGAAAACACCACATTTAAATAGCGGACACCCTTCTTGCTGAGCCAGAACACTGCCAGTGGCATTACAGCCCCTACCAGAAAGCGCACCGTGCAGGACACCAGCTCAAAGCCGTTCCTCGAACTCAGGAGTGGCAGGATAAATCAAGAAAGGCATGTTGCATGTCACTGTATTTTGAAACATAAAGTTGCTGTTTCCAGCAAGTTTTTCACACTAAAATGTGCAAACCATAAAAGACACCCTTGTTTCTCAGCCCAGTTAAGCAGGTCTGTCACATAAGCCTCGACACTGTGTATTTCAGAAAATAAAGCCAAATGCTAACAGAGGCACAGTTTTTCCTACTTCACACAAACTAAAAATCACAGCAGTGTGACCAAGGGGCCAGCACTAGCTTGTTTCAGGCAATTCAAATGATCTCAAGGCATCAACTGTTGCTCCACTGCAAGAGGCGCTGCATTTCTGGATCTTACCGGGGAAGATGAGAATGATACCAGGACATGCACAGACGCCATCCCTCAGACAAACATACACTACGTCTTCTTCACTCTCTGTTTTCAAGACCACAGTTATATAGTCGTTTTTGTTCACCCATAGTCAACTCATGTTAGGCATCAACATATATAACTGAACACACCACTAGACCAATTCCTTAAATGTAACCACAGTTCCCAAAACATTCAGAAAAGCAACCCCTCCCCCCCGAAAACAATGCCAAGAATAAAACCACAAGTGCAATTCAACAACCTCTTTTCCAACTGCATCCACTGCACAAAGCTCCATATTCACATTCAGCAAAACAGAGCGCGTCCAGCAAACTCCAGATTTAAAAAAAAAAAAACCCTAAGCATAAATCATAACAATTTCTGAATTACATTTCAGAGTACATTGAGGAAATTATCATCTGGGGTGAGCAAGGAGCAGGTAGCACTGGCAACCTTTATGGCACAAGAACAACTAAGAGGAGGTATCCAGAAGAGCTAAGTTCCAAGAATTCGAATTTCACCAACACCAATTCACTTTACCTTTCTCCACAGAAGCATCGGGGCTGGAGTCCCGCAACTGTTTAATTGGTGAAGAAGCTTTGACTGGTGCTGGGATACTCAGTGGCAGTGGTAAAGATGTAGGAACGTCAGAGAGGTCAGACTCTGAAGACTGAGAGAAGAGATACTCTTCGCCAAGGGAATGCCTATGTAACTCCACATCCACCACCTTCCAGAAATAGGAGAAAGGATGACATTAATATTTGGTAGCTAGGTAAAGACATAAAAAGTGAAAAAAAAAAAGCCTTTTCTTTTTATTTTAATGTCTAGAAACACCTCCCTCTCCTCCCCCGACCGCTACATAACATTTCTATTCATTTCAGGGAGACTTCCCTGAGGTCCAGCAGCACCTGAGCTAAGACAAAAATCTTGCAACATTTAACCCTCATGGTAAAATAGCCCATCTCTCATTCAGTGAGGAAATCTGCTCAGCGAACACTGGAAGGAATACAGAGCCCAGCTCCAAGCATCACACTAAGGACAGGACAGCATAATCCCTTAGGGACTGGCACAAAACTGCAGCTTGCCTCTTCTGCCTTTTTTGATAAGGACTTGAGAAACACACCACATTAGCTACTCTTCAAAAGTGTTCTTTAATCACAGCAGACATCTCGCATTAATGTTTTCTACACAGACTGAAAAGCTGAAGTAATGCAATTTCACCACAAAAATTTCCCTTCACTACAGTACAACAAGGGGAAAATACTAAAAAACCTTTAGGGATACAGCAAACTGAGTTATTAATTAATTTATGTTTTAAGAGTTCACTTTCCATTAAGATACTGAATCTTGACAGATGAAGAAACTTAGAAGTACTTAATATATGGCAAAATTTCACCAGGCTAGGTGATCCCTTTAATTTAAATTCTTTAGGTACGAGATGTGCAGCACGTCAGAATGCAAATAAAGACATCTGGTACCAGAAGCTCCACAAAGAAATAAAAATTAAAACTGTAGTACAAGTTAAAATCTTCATGAAAGAAGAGCTGGAAACAGTCCCCCCTGAACTAGAAAGGGGAAAAAAATGACTGTTGTCATGAATAGTGACAAGATGTCATAATAATTTAACAAGAGAACAAAATCTGCATTCCAGAAATTGCAAAGTCAAATGGCTCTGACTGTGCTTAGGCCTGTGTATCTTTTTCTTTTTAAACATCCTTAAGGGAATCAAAGTATAACATCCATCCCACGACCTGTTGACTCACCGTTTCTGCACCAAGTGTCTGCAGGCCTGTGTAGGTCCTGTCCAGCTGGGTAAAACAACACAATATATTTATATTAAACAAGGTAGCAATATATCAGCTAGAATTTACAATACAATTTGTTTGAAAGGAGTTGAAACTATGTAAGTTGAGCAGCAGGGCATCCAATTCTTTGGGACCACAGGGTCAGAAATCTGTGTTCTCTGTTAAGTACCCTCTCTTCTGCAAAAAAGCCAACCACGAGCCAAAGCCCACGCTAAAGCAGAAAGGAGCAAAAAAGGTGAAAGAAATGAGATTGCTGGGGAAATATTATTTCAGTCTAAGTGGAGTCTTTGAGGAGTGTCCTTTTTCATGTCAATATAAGGAAATAATATCTGAGTTTTTTCTCATTATTTAAACTGACCAGCACAAAGGCTATGTTTACACAATAATTTTTGATTAAGTAACTGTTCCCAGAGAGTAATAGCTAATAAAGGGGCAGAAAATCCCAGAGACATCTATTAAGACACCTACAGAGAGAAGCTGGGTTTGACAGGCTAGCTGTGCCCCAGAGCTCAGGGGCACACAGGCTGCCAGCCACAGAGGAGGGCTCCGCTCACTCACATCACCTCACAGCAGACACAGGCTCAGTACACGAACAGCAAAGATTTCCTGATTTGAGTTTTTGTGTGCCACAGACTGGCTCAGTTTTCTTCTGTAGGCTGGGCTTCCTTCGCTCTACGAAGTCCATCATACTGTTACCAACTTCTCCCCAAGTTACAGCTCTCCAAATACATTTTACTCATCATCTGTATTAAATATCCTTAAGTTCCAGGGGAACATTTCCAGCCTCTACTGTCTATATTTGGGGTTGCAATGAGGTTTCTACATTAGCATGAAATTCATTAATGCAAGCAGAGTTTAAATACAACTAATCATGCTGCTCAAAGAAACAGGAAACTAAACCAGCTCAGGACTTAATTCCACTAACGCTAGGGACTACTAATTAAAAGGAAAGCAAGGGCAATGGCCTAGTTTTCTAGCACTGCTCTATACTATAAATCCTACTGAGTGTAACAGGACAGGTGAATGAGTTTAAAAAGAAGGCTCTCTTCAAAAGGAACAAGGAACGAACAGGCAATCTCAGCCCCTCCCTGCCCACTCTAACAAGAGAGACAATCTCTAGCCAATAGCACACATATAGCAATCACTTTACCAACAGAAAGACAGCCCTGCAGCACCCTGCCAAGTTAAAGCCAGTGAGAGGATGATAGAAATCTTTAACAGGTAAATTCTTTGCTGCTCTGAGCAGAACCAGTTCCAGCCCCTGCAAGGCTGGGTTCCTTGGCTACTGCATTGCTGACAATACAGCCAAGGTAAGAGGCTTTCCTGGATCTTTTTTGATTCTCCAGCTCAACTATTCATGTCAAATAACCAGCAGGCCACACACACAACAGAGAGAGCCAGAAGCAAACACAAAAGTGAAGCTGCTTCTAGATTATGCAGGGGAGCTCATTTAATTGCCTTTCTCTCAAGTATTTTGTTCAAATACCTTCAAATTGTGTATGATATCGATCCTCTTGTTCTGGCTATCCTTGAAGTGTATCTGGACTCTCACAGGAAATTCTCCCCAGCCTCTCCTCGTTAGGTGAAATGGAGGTTCTCTGGAAACAAATGATGATTCACATTTTGGATGCAGATGTGGTACAGCTTTCACCTACCTCTTTTTCAAAAAGTGAAAGACTGCTCTCCTAGCTGACAGCTAAAGCTATCTTCAGGCCTGCTATTCACCACAAAGAGAATGCAACCACAGAAACGAGAATTTTATGGCTCTGGACAGCTGAAAGCACACTTCTATTTTGCACAAAGGGACAGGGAAGAAAATGGTAAAACACTGCTGGAGAGAGAATGTGGAAAACACGCGTCTTTAAAAAAAAAAAAAAAAAGGCTAATGCCAAATAAAAAAATACTAATTAAAAAAAAAACCAAGTCAGCTTCCTAGGGCACAGCTGCAAGGTGAGTTTTCAGTGCAGCATTTTGCAATCTCATAGCAAGAAGGTACACGCTTCGCATAATGACAAGAGAACAACATTCAGACATCAAGCTAACTCAACCACTGTCATTCTCCAAGCTGAAATATAAGGGCATATGTATCTCTAACATTTACTGTTACTTTGTATTTCAGCTTGTTGTTACTGTAAATCCCAAATGTAGTTTCACAATGAAACAAAACACAAGAGGTTTAAAGGCTATTTTTAGTCCAGAACATTAATGTTCACTACAATGACTAGGACTGTGTGACAAGAAATCAATTAACCAGACGGGATTAGAACAGAAGACAAACAGCATTGACATCAGATACTGGAAAATGAGAAAGGCACAAAAAGACAGCAGCCAAGCGCAACCTAGTATGTTATACAAGAAACAGGAAGGAGTTTGCTTTCGTCCTGCTCGGGGTTGCCTCCTCAGAGAAACTACTGAGCCATACCAACACTTCTTATCTCAGATAAGTTTCTCTGGAGTTGCCTTTCAGCAGTTTAATTTTGCCACAATTAAGTTGTCATTCTGTACCTGGGCAGCCTCCCCATCCTCCTCCAGGAGGCAGCTGAAGAATAATTTTGTCAGGAAGACAAAGTATTTTGAAGGCATCCTCCCGCTGTCTTGTCCAAAGGAGCAAGAATGAAAGACTGACAGGGCATTTCCCTGCAGCAGTCAACAGAGAACTGACCCTGCTCATCTCGTTAGGGTCACAGCTTTGAACACAGGTTTGGGAGAGGACAGAGGAGCACCAGCACCATCGCACTGATGTGAAATGCGTTGAAGAGTGAAGCCAGCGACACTGATCTCACTACAGTGGAGAAATATTTGGGAGAGGGATACAATTTCTTGCCCAAACGCACATGTACCATCAAAACTATGGGCAAAACAGCTTTCTGAGACACCTGTTTTCCGCACTGGAATGGATGGGAAGTAGAAAATACCTCTTTTAGCAACAGAAATCTAACCTGCGCAGCAGTGTAACTCATACAGGAGATGCACAAACTTGCATGAATAACATGAAATACAACAACTGAATGCTTTTTCTCAGTAGGAAATTAAAAAAGCCCAACTGTTTGGTACATTTCCTACATAAAAACTGATCTATTTTTACTATTATTCTGGAGCAAGTCAAGCCAAGCTGGAGGTTAAAGACAGACATGGAATACTAAACCAGGAAAAGAAGCTGATAACTTTCTAAGAAACTTGGCACTGTAAGCCTGGCAAGCATGAAGACTGAAATAGTGAATGGAATAATTCCTTATTACCTTACTTCTACCAGATCATTAGGTTTGTAACTGGGATGGAGAAAGAACCAAACTTTCTTGACAAAATGATTTATGCTGGGTTCTCTCCGAGAGCCTCGGACGTACACCATCCATTTATGGGTCGACTGATCATTTTCTTCTCTCTTGTCAGGGGGAATGTACCTGGCAAAGAAATTAAAAAACGAACACAAGATAAAAATCCCAGATAGATAAATAGCACAAAAAGTATTTAGGGAAAGGTCAGGCAAAAAAATTGGGGATGGTAAAACGCCTATGTGAACCTGACCCCCGTGTACTTCTACTCATTATTCCTTGCTCTGACAGTTCATCCAGAAACAGAGAGAGGTCCCATAACCTACTCTATGCTTCTAACACATTTCCTCCATTTTAGTGCACAACTACCATATGAAATTAATTTCATTTAAGCATTTGGCTCTTAATTAGCAAGATTTAATTTTAACATTCTACCACTGTCAAATCCCTTTCCTCATCTTATTCCGAGATACCAGTAAGCAAAATCACACCAGAAGACAACATCAGCAACTCTCTACCATAAACAAAAAAAAATAACAACTCTTCTTATAAAAGTTTAAGAAACTTCATAGTCAATACCTGGTTCCAGATCCAGGCTTAGGCAGGTTTTCAAGATGCAATTCTAACACTCTAAGTCTCATCAGCAAATGTCTGTTACTTTCTATGCAAGAGGAAAAGACTGACTTGTGTAGCGCAAGGACGGAGAGTTAAAACAAATAACTTTCTTCATTAATTTCCTCAGAGTTCACAAGTTATATGTATTTACCAGTTTTAATTTTTTTGGGAAGAAAAAAATAAAACCTGTACAAATTAATTTCGTGGACTTTCAGAATTTTCCTCATTCTAGTGGTTTGGGGTTTCTTTGTTAATTAAAAAAACCCCCACATTGTCCCTATGGACAAACTGAACTAGCCATTACGACAACTTGCTTTTCCAAATTTTCATGGAAAAACTTGGGATTTCCAACTGGTCAGAAAAGGCTGAAAGACTCCCCTTGAGAGAAAGGGATCTTAAAACCTCAATATATATATATATACACACACACACACACACACCACTACGTATGTAAAACAACTACTAAAATACATGTTCCTCCCACAAAAAAAAATAATCATGCAGACACTAGGAGGGCAGCCTTGGGTACAGTGACTGTTCAAGGGCAATAGCTCACATTGTGACAGCCTAGCAACTTCGTTTGTCTCATAATTTTAACCTCCTATTCCATTTAATGCTGAAATAAAGGACCATCCCTGAGACTCTGGATACTAACTTGGAAACATTGCCAACCACAATTGTTTTCTTCACATAAAGTCGCGAAGTTTCATCATTTGACAGTCCAGCATTTCGTTGTCCTGGTTTTTGAGAGCTTGAAACACCCGAACTGTCCTGAGGGTAGGGGAAGAAAAAAAAAGGCAAACAAAAAACCAAACATTCATCTTAAACATAATTTTGTTTGGCACTAGAAAACGAAGGTGTTCTTAAAAAAAGTAAACGTGCATAGTTAAATGAGAGACCAACAACGAAATTTCCCTAAAAATACTTAAACTGCTATCTAGGCATGTTTAAGCAACTCGGGCACACAATAATGATATACTGCATAGCCAAGTGTACACTGCATGGCTTAACTGAGCGTACATTATGCGACCTACCATGGATCTGAGCCATGATTTCAGCTTGGGTTTCAAAAGCACTGCCCCTGCACTATCTGAAAAAAATCAAGCATTGCTAGAGTGGCATCATGTTGGTCATTAATCAGAAACAAAGCTAAATCTCCCACGACCGGCTTCTGAAAATCTTTATCTTCCTCATTCCCAGCCTCTGCTGCTTTGAGGGACTCCAGCGTTGCTTCATGGGGAAGAATCGAGGCTGGGTTTGAGACAAGAATTCAGCTCCAACTCAGCAGGGACAGCAGTCAGCCATAGTATGTCACTGACATCTAGATAAGCCTAAAAATCCAGGGCAATACTTGGGCATAACAAATCCAGCCTAAGCAACCTTCCAACACAACCTCAGCTGTTAAGCAGTGGCCAAGACTCCCTGGTAAAACGATGACATGACTCCCTTCGACCAGCCCTTGGTCAAAGGTGTACCAATATGCCACACCCAAGCAATACAACTGCTCCACCAACATCCCCAGGGCAGAAAGAAGTTACGATGGTCTGGTGGTTTATGGTATAGGTGGGTCCACATTATATAGCGTATATCTGCCTTCATGTACCCTAGGCAGGGTTTCAGCAAACCGCAGCCCTGTTATCAAGGGTGTCACGCTGCTCAGCAGGGACAGAATCATTGCTCTTTCTGCCATGTATTATTGCAACTTGTTCAGTTGCAGAATACAGTCATATGCAATGAGATACACCCACCCCTGGTTTGGGTTAGAGGCTGTACTCCTCTGGCAGGCCTGGCAGCTTAAAGGAACTGCAAGGAAACTGAGGAGTTTCATCCCACCGACTAAGGCACATTTAACCTGCAGCCAGCGAGAGAGCCTCCCCGCTGGAGCTAACTGCAGCCGACAGGTGAAACATTTCTGTAGCTGCACAGTGAGACGTAAAGGGAATGGACCCAGGTCAAAAATAACCCAGAAAAACTATGGGCCAACAATGAAAGAAGGTATTTTTAACCTGGGTCAGTCTGGTTCAGTTAAGCAAACAGAGATATTAGCACAACAGCAAGCAGTGCCACCAAGAGAAAAACAACTCAAACTATGCACCCAGGCTCTCCCAGCTCACGCTCCCCAGGTGAGCTAATACACCAGTGCCACTGTGTTTTCACCACAGGCTGCTGAAGAGGCCAAACCCCAACTCCAGTGGTTCAACCACTCCAAGCAATGCAGTCCCCATGGGCACCCTGGGCCAGGCAGCAGCATTACTTCTTAAAAACACTGCTGGGAACGACACATCTTGATCTTCTCTCCTGGCTCTACCTTTCCTGACCTGACTTCCATCTGCCCAGCAAAACCCTTTGCTCAAGCTGCGAAACACCTCCTTCCTCAGGGGCTACCAACCAAGCCAGCAGCAGACAGCGGTGCTAACACAAACACTATCGCTGCTGCTGCCTGGCTGACCTCTCTGTTGGGCAAGGCTCAGTTAAGAGCAGTTACCCAAGTTACATGCACTTCAGCCTTACGACAAAGCCAGGCTCAGAGAGTGGGAGCGAGAGCTTGGAGAGGGTAATAAACAGATCTTCAGCAGGTGGGTGAAAACATGAAGAGCTTCTGGTGTCAGCACCGCGTCCAGCCAGAGTACACACTTTCAACAACTTGACCACCACTCGAGTTTTACTTTACCCGGCTGCCATTTCTGTTCTGTCTCTGGTCCAGGCTGCTTGTCAGCCGCTCGTCTGCGTCCAAGTTGCCATTGTCTTTGTCTAGGAGAAAGTCATTGTGCTGAGAGAGTGAGTCACTCTCGGAGTGGTTGGCAGATGGAGTGTCTGAGCCCTGGTTAGCTGGAGATGACGATCTGGAGGGCGATTCCAAGAATTTCTTGATTGAAGGGTGATTAAGAATTGTTGTATCACATGACCTGGTCCCCTGCAACAAAGAGGTCAGGCAGATCCGGTCACTATTTCCCTGAAGCCCACATAAAAACAAAGCTGCACCAGAAGCAGAGCAAAAAGTCAACTTATGAAGAAAGAGCAAATATTTAATCAGCTGCCTTGCAGGAAAACATATGCCGCAGAAGATGCAAGCTTACAACGGTCCTACAGAAACAGCACCCCAAACTGAATCTGTTCCTTTAGACCTTTTAATCTCAGAAACCCACCTGGTTTTGGAAAGGAGGACTGCAGCCTCCTGTCCTTTTGAAAATAACGGCTTCCCTTCCTGTGCAGACACCTACGGCCTTCTGCCATACACTGAAAGGCCACAGCTGCCAGATTCCTGCAGGCAGATAGGGTACGCAAATGCATCAGGCTCTTTAATTTTGATACTGACTGACAGTTTTGCCAATGCCTATGAGGCAAGCGACACGTATTAGCACCCTGTCTGCTCCCAAAGCTTAACGGAGGATAATGTGCTTAGGCATGCTTGCAAACTTTCCTCAAAATGGACATCTTAGAGCTAATCTTAGATCTTCCTAAACCTGCAAGGGGGAGGACAGGGCAGGGCTGTGTGTGCATTTAAATCTCTTTCGGTTTTTTTCACTACTGGGACATAGGCCCAATATATTTTTTTCCTGCGTTTGCTTTTAACCTCAGAAGTAGCAAGGAAAACACCTGTCACCCAAAGCACTTGGTCCCTTGGCCACTTCTCCCAGACATCAGTCCTCACTGTTACCTTAGCCTGATGATGAACCCACTGAAGGCAGCAGAAACATCCCTCTACCAGCAGCAGAGCACCAAGAGATAAGCTCACTCCAGCTCCCAAAGCCATAGACTCACACTAGAGTTGCACTGACAGCTTTTCTTTAGGTGGTACCAGCTAAAAGGGGCTTTCTTCTTCCCTGCCTGAACCTCCTGGATCAGCCAGGCAGCAACAATTATCCAGGAGAGGGGGCAGGTCACAAAGGAAAACAAATCAAGAAACTGATTTAGGATGTGTTTGGTTCTTTGGGTTTTATTTGTTGGGGTTTTTTTGGGTTTTTTTCATTTACAGGGTTATTTTTAATACACGTAAATTCCCTGATCCAAAATTCTGACAATGTGATGGAGGGGGTGGCATGGGGACAGACACCAGCAGAACATGGAGCAGCAGAACTGCCCTCGAGAGGTGGTAGCAGGAGTGGAGTTAAACATTGGCCCACCTTGGACTTCGAAGACTCACTGGAGAGCTTTCTTTCCAATTGCCCACTAGGTACATGACTGAAGCAATTACCAACTCCCAATTACCTGCTCAAGAGCACTTGAGAGTTGTATCCACATATCCAGCGGTGGGGACACACACACACAACCAAAAAAAAAAAAAACCCAAAACCAAACCAAACCACTACCAAGAACCTCTTTTTTTTTTTTTTTCTTAACCTCTAGTCAAGTAAAATGACCAACACCTTGTCCACTAATTTGTGGGAAAACGTAATAAACTGTAATCATACGAAATCATAAGCCTCAAACCCCAGCAGCACTGGGTTGAAGAACTGTTTGCATGTATAAGAACAGGTTAGGAATTTGCAAATCATCTTCCTAGAAGCTCTGAATTAAACTACAAAGATTCCCATTCTACCAGAAGCAGAAACAAGACAATCACTCACTGCCAGAGTAAAATATACATTAACCACACACTGAAAACAGACAACGAACAAAACTGAAAACAGTAACAATGTCAACATAAAAAAGAACTAATTTAGTCTGCATGTAAATCATGACTTTTTGAAAAAAAAATTAAAATGCAATCAAAGACACAGCTACACTAGCCACAAGCTCCTAAAAACTTCAGGAAAACTAAACAAAGCAAGGTCACACCAGTAAGTCTTGTGAACTCTTCAGAACAACTACAAAGGTTATTATTTCTGGAAAGTGTGAAAATCAGCAAGGCAAAAACTAACACCCAGCATGGCAGAACACGTAAAGAACGGGGGACAGTACAAGCTCTTGCTGACACATGATGACATCAGATAAAAGCACTTTCAAAGTTCAGCATCCAGCTGACATTCTTCAGCTGCCTACACAAAGATCAAGGCAGGAGGAAGGACCTCCAAGCCTCCCAATACCACCATAACCTTTCTCAGCTCCAGCTGCTCAACTGAAGTTCAGTGAGGGAAAACCAGGCTGGACTTTCTTGTTTTTAACTTCCTCCACATCTTCTGGAAATCACAATAGGAAAACAGGAACAGAAGTGCAAGCCCTTGCTTGGAAGATAAATTCTTGTGGTGCTGGAGTGAAACCCAAGTTTTCAGCACCCATCTCAGCTTTCAAAATCAGCTCAGATCTTTACTTGAAATTAGGTAAACTTCCTGAATTGAAATGATGGTAACTAAAATATCCAACACGTAGTTCACCAGCAGTTTAATCAGAAGTCTGCGTTCAGCATCAGTGTGAGTCATGAACACTCTGCAGTTACCTGGCCATTAAGGACAGAGTGCTCAGAACTGGGCTTTAACTAGTAGGGTGGTTGCGTTCTTGTTTTGGTTTGCTTTTTTTCTGGTGAATTTTTAATCTCTCTGTGATATCTCCTTGATTTTCCTCCTGCTTTACTGCTGCCATCAGTCTGTCTACCAAACCATTAACAGACTGGCTGCCAGGTAAAGGGAGGATGGTTTCATGGTACTGCCCAAGACTCAAGAAATCTTGATTATTATTTTTTTCCTGAGAAGTTCCAAAATCCATCTGTTTCCATTCTCTTCCTGTGAAATGGGAAAACATGTTCTTCACTTTTCAGGGCTCTGCAAGGACAAATTGCGCAGTGTGTGAGAAGCAAGGTGCTCTCATGCAAGAACTGATGAGAAAAATGCAGTTTTTCAGAAGCCAAAACCGAGAGCTGCCCAACAACTTCTCAACTGCTCAATGAAGATGCATCCCTGCGGAGTACCCAGTCAGTGACACACAGCTCACCTCTCCCACTGCCACCCCATTTTCAGTTCATATCCCACTATTTCAGAAAACCACATCTGAAAACCAAACACCAGCTGAATAGCCAGTGAAGTACACATCTTCCTTTCCAAGTATTCCCAGAAGTCTTATTATTCCCAAGCAATTCTTACCTCTCCAGCTTTAAGGAGACCAGCAGATGCGTAATAGTTAGCCACAATACAGGCACGCAACTTATCCATCATCCTTCTTGCTTCAATCAGGCGCTACAAAAAGAAGAGGTAACATATAATAATGGGTAACTGCTGCAGCAATCCTTCAAAACCCCTATACACCAGGATCTTATCTATTTTTAAGAACAAATTTTTTATACCTGATCTATAACTTCAATTTCATGTTCTTTACTCTTCATTTCGACGGCAAATTGTTCTTTTATAATCGTCTCAATCTTCTGCACAGCAACATCTCGAGCTGTACAAGGCCACACATGGGAAATAAAGAAGAAAGTATTTACATTTATATTTTTGAGGCTCCGTTTGAAAAAATAAGGATCAGAAAGCACTATGGAGAGAGAAGTGAAAGGATAATAAGTTCAGCACACACAAAAAAATGGGAAGGATCATTTTTCTGCAAAATAATTTGTCTTAACAAATACCACATGTATCATTAAAAGCTGTCTTATGTGGAGAGCTATTTTTCCCTTTTTAGGTCTGAGATGACAAATAACAGAAGATGGGAAGAACAGGACCAGTTTGTTTACTTCTGTCTCAGAAAAGCTGTAAACAGTAAAAGGAAAACTCCAATGTGCTATGGCCAAGTGCAGTTACCGCTGTGACTGTGCAGGAGTACGCTGGAACACTACGTACATTTCTCTGCTCTCTTTGGCCCGATTCAAATCCAGGAAATTTACACCACAACATGCAGCAATATTAAGGCAAACTAATACTTTATATGCTTAGCACTGGCATGAAGTGCAGCCTACTCCGGAGTGCCTACAAGCCTTTTATTACCCACAAAGGAAACTACATTATCGAAAGCTGGTCTAACTCTTATAACATCCTCTTCCAGCACAGCAGTCAAAAAATTCTAGTCTTCCAGCAGGAGTTTATTGACCTTGCTGCAAAGCACGTTGTTTAATATTTCAAATTGTGCGAGTACCTTACTGCAAATTAGCAGCTAAGAACCAAATTGGCATCTTACAGTGTTTTTCTAGAACACGTATAAACATAGGAAGAACAATTCCTTTTGCTCTACACCTACTGTACGCTTAAATATTGCTCTTGCTTTAAGCCATGTCCGTTGTATCAGGGGGTTCAAACAACATCTGTTTTTATCAAGTTCTAAGCAACAACTTGGAAAAGCAGGAATTGTACTTCCAGAAGCACACCTGGAAAAGGTCCTCCAGCCTGAGTCAGAAATAGTGACCCCAGTACAAAGCAGATCAGAGAAACAGCCTGAGTTCCTCTGAAAAAAACTCCTACAACAACATTTCTATGTGGAATAGGAAGCAACAGCACCAAGACTTTGTTCTGAGCTTCACAGGAAGCATTTGTTTGACTGAAGGGTTTGGAGAGGTTTCTAGTATCTCAACAAAAAGAGCAAAGAAATCAAAAGTGAGTCAAAACTTTGCTGGTATGTTCTAGCTAGCACGCATAACTTCACTCTCTGATCAAGTACCAACAACAGGAGTAAGGCAACTGATGCCTCCATCTGCACCAGGGGTACCCTAAATGTATTTACTTATTTCCAGATATCTGTGCCTATATCCTAGGACCAGAAATAGTTCAAACCTACACTAAAACAGAATTATGGCTGAATCTGTATGAGTAATACAAAATAAAAAACAGAGGGATATAATTTTCCTCCAACCATGAACATCATGCTTTGGAAATTCACATGTAAGGCTACACTTAAAATAAACCTAAACAGATTAAGGTATGAGATGCACAGTTCACACAGGGACAACTGCATCTCCTCCCAAGACTGATGCCATGCAACACCAGCATTATGACAATTAAAATAAAGAACACTTTATTTTCCCATTTTTTCCACCTTAGTGCCAACCACAGTCCCTAATTAAGACTGTTAGTGAAACTTGTATACTTAAAGAATTCTTGTCTCAAAAGTTGGAGATCTTCCATGAGAGGAAGAAGCCAGTTTGGAGGAATCACCTGAAGACAAAGTTCATTTTGGCAAGGGTAGCTTTCCAAGGCCCTGAGACTTTGCCTGCTAACTATTAAGACCTTCTGAGAAGTTGCTCCAGAAGTGGATTAAAAACGCATCTGCAGTCCCTGGGACACTCCACTACAGAGGTGGCAATTTCTGGCAGCCAGGCATTTTTTTTTCTCTTCTGCCATGGCCAGCTCCAGCACAGCTCCAGTGTCATGGCCCCTAACCGCTCTGGCAGACAGGACCTGCCCAGCAACACATTCCACCCAGAGTTCAGCCTCCTCAGGCTTGTCTAGATGTACGCCATCCTCCAAAACATCACCCACGAAGCCATCATCTGTCCCTCTCCAACTGGCAGGTCCAGCATCCTGCTCTGTTCCTGGATCTCCTTCAGATCCCACTGCCAGCTTTGGTTTTCTCACCTCCCTCTTCATCAGCTCCTCCTATCACGATCCTCTCACTAGCTGCACTATGCCAAAAATCACCAGCCTACTCCCTGTCCCAGAGGCAAGGAGCTCTCCCATTTGCCCAGAGACAACTGCAACCTGTCCCAGGCACCCTGCCAACAGGCCTGTTCCCAAAGCAAGCATATCTGAGCGTGCCAAATGCAAAACCTACTCATCCAGCCACTCTCTCCACTATGCTTCTTCATCCACCTTTCCCTCAGCCGGGCAGCTGCTCCTCCTCCTCCTCCTCCCTTGCATCTTTGTAAGCCCCTTCCTCCTCCCTAACTTAGCCCTTCCACACTGCTCCATTTCACTTTATCTGCCTACTCTTGCAAACATTTGTCACCTTCCAAGAGCCAGGCTACAAACTGCAGAGCTGTGGATTTCTCCCCCCGCTTACTGCAGGGTCATGGATTTCTCCCCACAGCCTGTACTGCAACCTGTAACCCCCAAAATGTAAACAAAGTGCCAATCTTTCCGGAAGCAACTGAAAACAGATGCACAAGTCGGAGCACATCTCAGCATGGTTAACTGCTGGGAAGATGCACTGGAGAATACTTCAGCAAGCAACAGGAACCCAGCTACACGGCTGGGGTCCTGGAGAGCTCATGCTCCAGCTGCTATCATGCACCAAAGTCTGCATCCTCACGCCTTACTTACGGTTCAGCTAGCAGGCAGGTACGGTTCCATGTACACCAATCCCACCTTCATTTGGGTGTTCAGAGGCACTGCTATCTCCCTTGCTCGGTTTCCGCCCTCTGACCCTTAGCTCCTGCCCCCGTCCCTCCCGGCCCTGCCTGCGGACAGCACGCGCCTCCAGAGACCCCGCCAGCCCAGACAGCTCCTACCCGACTGCTCGGCCGCCTTGTGCCGCTTGCTGGGGTGCGTGACGGTGATCTCCTCGTAGTCGGGGTCCTTCTCCGCGATCACTCTCTTCATCCCAGACATGATCTCTCCACTTCTGCGCTGAGAGGACAAATAAAAGCGCGATCGTCACCCACAGCGACCTCCTGGGCGGCCTTCAGCCTCTCACCGGACCCCATCGACGCGCACCCCACATCGGGGAGAGACACGGCGGCACCGCGCCCCGGGGCACCTCAGCGC